CTCACTCACTCACTCACTGTCAACTCACTCACTCACTCACTCACTGTCAACTCACTCACTCACTCACTCACTCACTGTCAACTCACTCACTCACTCACTCACTCACTCACTCACTGTCAACTCACTCACTGTCAACTCACTCACTCACTCACTCACCCACCCACCCACTCACTCACTCACTCACTGTCACCTCACTCACTCACTCACTCACTCACTCACCCACCCACTCACTCACTCACTCACTGTCACCTCACTCACTCACTCACTGTCACCTCACTGTCACCTCACTCACTCACTCACTCACTCACTCACTCACACTCACTCACTCACTCACTCACTATCACTCACTCACTGTCACATCTCTCACTCACACACACCACACTCACATCACTCACCTCACCTGTGCATGCACATACATACACACACAAACTCACCCACCATCACCCCTCCATGACTCTTATACTTCCTCTTCCCTTCTTGCTTTTCTATGCTCAGTCTAAGTCTAGAAGTTGGTAACATGTGGGGTTATCCGGTCCTATAATTATTAATGATTACTTACTTTACCTTAGTTTTGAAAAAATAACAAAATGTACTAACGACCAGCCAGTGTTTCTTCGATTGAAAAAATCAATATCGATTGATTTTTTTCAATCTTGGAGCCTTTGGGCAGTGAATTCTCTTCTGCGAAGCAGAGTGCGGAGTGTTTCAAACGAAGAATTGACATGAATTGACCACTATTTGGGAGGACCGATATGGAGACTTTCAATCTTATGAAATCAGTGCGTGGCAGGTGTGAGCCAAGACTTGATGTTGCTAATTGCACCTTCGATATCTTCAATAGTTAACATGATGTAGACAGGCGACTGATCATTTAAGGGTCAGGTTCTGGTTGTATCAGTGGATCAGGTTTCAAAAAGAAAAGACACTGCCCCAGCGTCTCACTCACTCACTCACTCACTCACTGTCACCTCACTCACTCACTCACTCACTCACTGTCACCTCACTCACTCACTCACTGTCACCTCACTCACTCACTCACTGTCACCTCACTCACTCACTCACTGTCACCTCACTCACTCACTCACTCACTCACTCACTCACTCACTGTCACCTCACTCACTCACTCACTCACTCACTGTCACCTCACTCACTCACTCACTGTCACCTCACTCACTCACTCACTGTCACCTCACTCACTCACTCACTGTCACCTCACTCACTCACTCACTCACTCAATCACTCACTCACTGTCACCTCACTCACTGTCACCTCACTCACTGTCACCTCGCTCACTGTCACCTCACTCACTGTCACCTCACTCACTGTCACCTCACTCACTGTCACCTCACTCACTGTCACCTCACTCACTGTCACCTCACTCACTGTCACCTCACTCACTGTCACCTCACTCACTGTCACCTCACTCACTGTCACCTCACTCACTGTCAACTCACTCACTCACTCACTCACTCACCCACCCACCCACTCACTCACTCACCCACTGTCACCTCACTCACTCACTCACTCACCCACTGTCACCTCACTCACTGTCACCTCACCTCACCTCACCTCACCTCACCTCACCTCACCTCACTCACTGTCACCTCACTCACTCACTCCACTCACTCCACTCACTCCACTCACTCCACTCACTCCACTCACTCACTCACTCACTCACTCACTTCACTCACTCACTCACTGTCACCTCACTCACTCACTCACTCACTCACTCACCCACTCACCCACCTCACTCACTGTCACCTCACTCACTGTCACCTCACTCACTCACCTCACCTC